CATGCTTGTAGCTCTGTCTTAGGAAGATTGTTCTGGCATGTTGTGGACGATGGGTTGGGGAGACCGATTTGAGGGCTATTTGCAGTCAGTCAGGGGAATGGTAAAAAGACTCTGACCTTGGAGGATACAGTGATGATGGAGGGGTATGATTGTTGGAGACTGTGCACTTAGAGGACAAGCAAGTCAAGGGCTCTGAGCTTTCTGGACAGAGTAACTAGGAGAATGGATGCGTTATAGACAGAAAAAAATATTTAGGTGGGAAATTAATCTGAGATGAAAGATAATCCATTCAGATCCCCTTACCTGGAAGTGTCTTCCCTTCTCTGGTCTACATAAAGTAAAACCTCATGAGGAAGGTGGGTATAAGCTGGATCATGCGGTTTTACCCCTTAACACTTCTAGCCTGTTCACAGAAGTTAATATTGATTGCCTTATGTTGTTCATTATCTGATTTGAGTGTGTTGGTCTGATTTCCACAGTTAGTGTAAAATCAGAGACTTCTGCAGTATCCTCTAAACCAGTTTTTTTAAAGTTCAGAGAAAAAGAAGCTTAAAGAGAAACTCCTAGAAATCTCTTTGAATCTTTTGGGAGGAAAAAAAGCCGATTACAGTTTCCTGTAGAAATATATGCAATTAATAATTTCATCACAGTCTAATGTAGAGTGTACAACTAAGAAAAGAGAAGGTGGTAAATATGTGGGAGGGATGAAAGATGTAAATTAACATATGGAGGGAAAACCGGGTGCAAAAAAAACGTCCATGTTAGACAAAGACATAAGGCTAAATTCTCAGTATTGGTTCACTTGATCCAAAAAACAAAACAAAACCAGCCCAGTTATAAAAACCAGACCTTATGTGAAGGAGACCTAAATGATACTGTCACAGTTTAGATATTGGCCGAGTGAGATTACCACAAGAAAATAAGCATATTTGCCCCGTGGCCTATAATGTTGTTTTTACCATTTTTCAGGGTAGGGAAGAAGGTCATGCCACTGCTAGAAGATCTGCCAAGTGCTTGGGCAAATTTACTCTGCTATTTTGAGGAGACCATCTGGTTCCCAAGTGGTGGAAATTTTTTTCAGGAGATATTTAGGTAATGGGTCTAATGATAATAACTGTTTTATAGCTCAGTTTTCTTTTCAAGAACTGAAGAAATTAAAAAAAAAATAATTTCTGGTTTGTCTTTATGGTAACCTGTGAGGTTGGAAAGGGAATATTGATTGTCTACATAGCCATAATCTCCTTCCTGTATGTTTGGGAAAAATAAAGAACTCCATTCCACTTATCTCAAAACCGATTAATGAATTGACCAATCTTTCCAAAAATTTGGAGATGCTTTTGCTCTGGCATATCACGTTCATTTAGCCAGTGAACTGATTTTCTTCAGAATCTTGACTATTAAATTTACTTTTAAATATGTTTGATAAACTCAGAATTTAAAATATACCCCATCAAACTTTGGTCTCCCTGTGTGCTGACAAAGATCAGGATGATGTGTAGAGGTTTTAAATGAATATCAAGACAAAAGATTAGAAAAAAATAAATTCATCCATCAAAGTAACCCTAAATGAAGGCATGTGGAAAATAGAAGGAAATATAAGATGGCATAATGGTAAAATTATGCAAGGCAAAGGATTAAGGAAATTCACTAAAATTATAAGAAATAAGGAAAGAAAGACCGTTCTGAGTTAACTGTAGCAGAACAAAGGGATTGGCAGCTCTCTCCATAATTCTGCAATGGTTTCTAAAATATTGAGTAAGGTTTTGTATTTCTAATTAGCTCAGTGCTAGAAATATGCCTTCTAATGTGATTCATATGGATATGTGGAATGACTACAAAAAATATTCTCGAACTTGAGCTTAATATAGATTAAATGCATTTTCTTCCTATCATAAATTATGAAAAATTGTTCTGATACAATATTGTAATTTATTCCTCTGTCATCTCTAGAACATCAGGAGGTTAGACATATGTGAACAGAAACTGTGCAGAGATATTTGCACGTCTAGATCAGGGTTTTTCTTTTGCTGACGCAGGGTGGCTGTTCACAATCCTTGATTAGTGAACTCTAAACAATGATAATGATAACCAGGCATAACGCTGATGTCATTACTAGGGTTGGAGTCCGGCCCAGATGGGAAAGCTAATGGTAATCATAATGATAGCTTGTATACCTTGAGCGCCTACTATTTGCCAAGTGTTAACTTATTTGCCATGTGTTAACTTATTTAATCCTCACACAGCCTTATTAGACATATGAAGAAACTAAGGCACAGAGAAGTTAAGTAACTTATTCAAGCTCACACAGCCAGGAAGTGGCAGACCTGAGATTTGAACCCAGGATTTCTGGCTCCAGGCCCCACACTCTAAACTTCACTGTACTATGCTACCTCACACACTGTGGTATTTTTGTACTACCGTTGGTGACATCCCCAAGTTTGTTTGGCATTCTTATCAGGGTGTCCCTCTATCTCTTTGGGCTTTTTTTTTCCTGTTCTGATGTAGCAACAGGACACCTTTTGATTCAGAGAATACAGTGCCCTTAATGAATCATCAAGACATCTCTAGACATTTTTAGCGGTTTTCTGTGGAGATCTCATTTCTTAATTCTGACTCAACCCACCAGGATGATTTGATAGTTATGGCATATGACTCCTGCATGCAATTCAATGAATAAAAATCCTTAACCACATTTGCTAGTGGGGAGGAAATAAACTGACCACATTTTGGGGACACATTACCTCTATAAGTAAGAACAACTTCTACTCACTCTCTATTAGTTTGAATTTTAGGGAGATTTATTAACATTTAGGGTACTAACTTTATACAGTCCAAGAATAATGGGGCAGTTGTGTGAAATGAGAGGAGATTCAGTGAATTATATGACAACCAAGGTTCTCAAGGGCAAACTAAAGAAACATTACTGATAAGACATAATTTGCTTACTACTCAGTTTCAAAACTTTCTTTCACAATGCTAATCTCCTGGCTTTTCCATATCAGATTTTTCTGAGTAATGCTCATCAACACCAGCTCTATTTTATTTTATTTCTTTTATTTTTATTTTTTGGTGAGGAAGATTGCCCCTGAGCTAACATTCATTGCCAATCTTCCTTTTTTTGTCTGAGGATGATGGTCCCTGAGCTAACATCTGTGCCAATCTTCCTTTATTTTGTATGTGGGATGCCGCCACAGCATGGCTTGATGAGCAGTGCAAAGCCTGGGCGGCTGAGGCAGAGCGTGTGAACTTAACCACTATGCCACCAGGCCGGCCCCAACACCAGCTCTGTTTTAAAATAGAGCATCTTTAAAGTACTTCCTGTGCATACAAGAGCCAGAAGAGCAAATAAGTATCACAGTCCAACTATAGATCGAAGGAGAAAAGAATGCATGAAAGTGTTAAAAAATCTGATAAAATCCTAACTCAGCAGTGGCACAATTACTTAATAGATTGGATTACTCCAGAGAGAACCAGTGACCTTCTTCAGTCAATGTGTTTTGAGTCCTACTGTGTGCCAGGCTCTCTGCTGGGTGCTCAGGACCCCAAAATGAATAAAGCAGCTTCCTTGCACTCGGAGGGCACCTAATCTGCTTCTCTCTTCTCTGTTAAATCTTTTTGTCTCTATGTCTTGCATAATCAGGCTGCCACATTGTGACCTAGTTTCCTAATGCCCCTGTAAAGTTGAAATGCCTTGGTGAAATAACATCAGCTGTTACTCTCAAATCCATGGAAATGTGAAGTTTACTGTTTTGTTCTCCTTGATAAAATATAGCATAATAACTAGTTGCTGGGTTACTACATAAAACACAGGCCCCAAACTGCAGCTGGGAAGAGCAGTTAGCAATTAAGGAAAGGAAATGACTAGCGGGTTTGAAACCCAACACACTGCCCATGTACTTCTTAGCATATAAGGCATGTAGGTTACTTAGGCAACTTTTATCGCTAAGGAAGTCGTTTTAGTGACTCACGCTCATACAGGCTGACTTCTTTCAAAATCTGTGTTTTCAGTGACCTTACCATTATGCTTCTGTTTTCCTTTTTCTTTGCACTGAGACAGAAAAGACTACATTTGGATGGCATAGGTTTATTATTTAGTAGCATCTTATTCACCGGCTGGCCCCTGTTTTGAAATTTAACGGGCTTCTGGTGATCAAAGTGAAGGTCAGTGGTTCCTGCAATATATTGCTATCTTAAAGAACTAACAGCTTATTTTCTAAGCAGAAATGTTATATCTTTGGGCCAGCCTGGTGGTGTGGTGGTTAAGTTCACGTGCTCCGCTTTGGCGGCCCAGCATTTGCAGGTTCGAATCCCTGGCGTGGACCAACACACCACTCATCAAGCCATGCTGTCACAGGAGTCTCATATACAAAATAGAGGAAGATGGGCACAGATGTTAGCTCAGGGCCAATCTTCCTCACCAAAAAAAAAAAAGAAGAAATGTTATATCTTATGATAACAACATTTTTTGTCTGTTATTTAATGTGACTCATATTTAAAATATGAGTCACACTTTTGACAAATAAACTAGAATGCTGAAATACTTTATACCAAAACATAAAATGCCTTAGTCTTCTCCAAAGAGATGAAAAATGGAATTAAAATCTCCACTGAGAGTTGTCTGGAGATGATAATTACAAAAATAAAGGAACTCGAAGGAGATTTCTTTGCCAGCTTCTCTCCTCAGATTTTCCGTCTACCTGCTCAGTGTTCCAACAGTATTTGTTTATGATGATGGATATTTTTTTCTGTGTTAAAAAATAGTAGAGGAGTTGTAGAAGTTGTTAGCTAATTCAAAGAGTTATAGGTCGATGATGTGTTGGGAGAACGATATGGAAGAACTTATATTGACAGATAAAGAAAACTAGAAGCCAAGCATCTGAGCTGGCTTCTGGGGTTAGTATAGGAGCTCCAAGTGTTTTTTTTTTTTTTCTTGGTAAGGAAGATTGGCCCTGAGCTAACATCTGTTGCCAGTCCTCTTTTTGCTGAGGAAGACTGGCCCTGGGCTAACATCTGTGCTCATCTTCCTCTACTTTATATGTGGGATGTCTGCCACAACATGGCTTGATAAGCAGTGTGTAGGTCCATGCCCGGGATCCGAACCTGCGAACCCTGGTCTGCCAAAGCGGAGCATGTGAACTTAACCAATATACCACTGGGCTGGAGCTCCAAGTTTTTCTGGTGTCCTCAGTGGTGCCAGCTTTTGGTGTGACCAGCCTAGGGCTCACCTGAATCGTTACTATATCTTTTGTCCTAACTCCAGAAACCATGCCGTTAAGTCTCAACATTTAGACAGTATTACTTTAGCTGTTTTCAATTTAGTCCTTTTCTGTTTTTAATTTTGTGGCTGGAAAAGCTTGAAAAAGACCATGAGTCATGACAACCATTTCTTTTTCCTCCGGATAGAAGCCTTCCATGTGAGGCCAAGGCACAAAGCACCATCTGGGTGATTCATGAGCCTTAGCAGCTGAACGCTTTTCTGTGGGGCCCCTTTAAGGGAACATGTGGAGAAGGACCAGTCCAGTGGTTCACAAAGCGTGGTACCCAGACCAGCAGCAGTGGCTTGGGAATTTGACAGAAATACCAACTCTCAGTCCCCGCCCCAGGCTGACTATGTCAGAAGTTCCGGGGGTGGCGACCAGCAATCTGTGTTTTAACAAGACTTCCAGATGATTCTGAGGAACGCTAATGTCTGACAACCACTGTGTTAGTGAATTGTTTGTATTTGTGGCCGTGGAGACTATGAAAAATATAGGAATTGGAGAATGGGGACATTTATGAGTCTTAGCTTTTGAGGAGATGAAGAATAGATAGAGAACAATACTTTAACTTTTGGAATTCAAGAAAGAAAATATAAAAAGCCTGGAATTTAATTAGCAGGACTAATTGCTTGCATGAACCTTGGCTTTCTCAGAGAGGGGAGATCCAGATGACTAGGTGACTGTGAAATATATTGGCATGGCTCTGAAATTCTAGAATAATCTCTCTAGTGAGAAAAGGCATGCCTTTCTATATTAGGACATAAATTCAACTCAGGTTTGTAAAATCCTATAAGATTCTTATATTCCATGGACTTGGCCAACTCATTTGCCTTTTGAGGCCCCAGTTTCTACATCTGAAAACCATATGCATTGTTACTTGCTGTGAATTATCTCATCAGAATGAAGTGAGGGATTCAGTATATGTAAGAGGATTTGTGAGGCGTTTTCATTACTGAAAAATGCGATGCATAATGATCAGAATGATCAAAATAAATATTGATGGTAAAGAGCAGTTTAGAAGATGGTACACAAATGGGTTGATATTTCAACTTTCCTTTAATATGTGCCCCCTTTAGTCCTGGATCTGTCATGTATTAGCTTTTGATGTTACATAAATCACATATTTGTAAAGCTTTTAATCTTACTTTCCTCATCAAAAATATGGTATTAATGATACCTACTCACAGAATTGTTGTGAGAATAAAATTAGATTAATATATGAAAGGCAGTTTTTAATGATCAAACATTACAAATTTTAGATATTATTGTTGTGATTGTTGTTATTTTACGTCTGGATTGAGGAAGCCTTGTGATTGTTGACATAATGACATCATCCAGGAGTTTGGAAGAAGTGTGAATGTCAGCAGATTTTATGATTACAAACAATAGCTCTGTTTACTTCTCTGCTATTTCTCCTTCAGTGGAATGTTTCCATTTTCTCATGAAATGGGGGAGATCCATTTATGTTTTATTAAAGAAAGCAAGCCTGATATTTTTTATCCTTTGAACTGAGAGACTGCATTTCATTCATTCTTTTGGGGAAAGATGACAGACTCTGGAGTCAGGCTACCTGGGTAAATTCCCCGATCCTCTACTTACTAAATGATGTAACCATGGATAAGCCTCAGTTTACTCATCTGTAAAATGGGGGTGATAATAATACAGGTTGTATGAAGAGGAAATGAGAAAGTATATAAAATACATAGTAGAGTGCCTGGCACAATAATGTGGGTGGTGGTGGTGGTTATTATTATTAAACTACAGCATGAAGGGGTAGAAAAAAGCATGTGTCTGAAAGTCAAGGGCAGGAGAGAATAAGAAGAAAAAGACAGCTTAGAAAATGGTCTGATCATTTTGCAAATGAAAATTCAAGCAGTTCCCATGACTTTTCTAGTCGCTCTTGTTCAAATCAAACAATTCTCTGATTGCTTCTAATTGAGAAAATTAATCGTAGTGATTTATAATCTGCATGTCCATGTAATCATCAAAATTTCAAATCTGCTTTGAAGTTACGTGTCCTCCCTCTCCCAGCTTGAGTGTGCTGGAGGCCAGGAGCCGCAGGGCATGGGAGCATTGGATTTCTCTCTGTCTCCTAAGTGCTTCTCCTCTTCCTCCCCCATCTTGCTGACTAAGGTTTCTTTAGGCTCTAGGGTTAGAGCTCACGAAGAAGAGGTGAGGAAGGTTAGAAAAGTTCTTACCTGGCTAGTACCGTTGATTTAGAGTTTTCACCTTTCCATTTGCCATGTGTTTAAAATTGGCCCTTTTTCTAGCAGATGCTCCTTTGGAAACTTCTCAGCATTGAGAGTCTTTCTCAAAGCTCCCTCGACAAGCAAAAGTGCATCTTTGTTTCGGCTTCCACAGCCCATAGGAGTTGCTCAGAAGTGCCCTCCTTGCTTCTTTTTGCTGTGGTACCTTCTCTCTAGTGGGTGATCCATGAGGATCTAAGACAGCTAGCTCTCTCTTGCATGGCTCAGATCGGGTCCAAGGGAAATACTTTACCTTCTAAAACTCAGAGGGTAATGAGAATACAATTTTAAACTCCCTGGGTGGTCCTTTGAAGCTCTTTGCCTTTGCTTACAGTGAGTAGCAAACAGCCCCATAGATCTTCTGGGAAAAAAGGTCCACAGAGCATGCTGGCAACTTTCTCCAGAAACTTTCATCCTCGCTAATCTCCAACTCTTTTTTTACCTTGGACCTGGGTAGGTGGTTGGAAGAGTTATGTAACTCTTTTTGGAACCCTTCCTTTGAAAATGTTGCATCAAACTGTTGTACTTCACTTTGGAATGTGGTGTCTAGAGTTTGGTACTAGTCAAAACTTACACTTTAACTCTTTTTAAAGATAAAAGGGGAGAGGTTTGCTTTGGGGATGCTTTGACTTCGCAAACCATCACCCCAAAGTTGCTGGTGCTGCAGAGGAGAAGATGGTTTCTACATGCAAATATTGTAATTGGGATTCTCACGAGTCCCCATCCTCGTCACAAAGTAAAGCTTTAAATGTGAGTGAGTGGTTTTTAGATGTTTATATTTAATCTTTTTCTTATAGGCAGATTTTTTTCTTTTAAACATATCATTTGGGACTGATTTATGTTCTGTTTTGAGAGCTCAAATGTGTTTAAAAAGAGTGTTCACATGAAGTTAAAAAACTGTTAACTTTTATCAGTTGTAAGATAATCCTAGATCCCTACAGGTATTAAAATAAACTAGTCTTGACTCAAATTAAATAAAATATATTATGTATTGTGTTTAAATTATTATTTTTTTGCATTTCAGGTGTAACATTTTTTTTTTTTGCTGAGGAAGAGTAGTCCTGAACTAACATCTGTTGCCAATCTTCCTCTTTTTTTGCTTAAGGAATGTTAGCCTTGAACTAACATCTGTGCCTATCTTCCTCCACTTTATATTTGGGTCTCCACCACAGCATGGCTGATGAGTGGTGTAGGTCTGAGCCTGGGATCCAAACCCGCAAACCAGGGCCACCAAAGCAGAGTGTGCTGAACTTAACCACTACACCATGGGGCTGGCCCCAGGGATAACATTTTTTTAATGTGAAAACTCATACATAGACATATGTGTACAGATATATGCAACTCTGAGCTCATGCCAAAAATGTCTGTGATTGCCTTGTGATAGTTTTGGAGGTGGGTATCTAAGTATAATGTGAATATAGACTTGTAATTGGAATGTCATGTAAGCCTCCTATGTTGGTGTGTTTCTCCTTGTAGACCCCAGCTACCATTTTGAAAATTACATAGACCTATAAAAACTTCCTGGAAATTTGATAATTTGGTATAATTAGGTAAATAATTAGGTAAATTTCTCTAATAATTGTTGACATCAATTTGGTTACTTTTTTCATAATTTTATTTATTTATCTTTTTTCCCCCAAAGCCCCAGTAGATAGTTGTATGTCATAGCTACACATCCTTCTAGTTGCTGTGTGTGGGACTCAACCTCAGCATGGCTGAAGAAGCGGTGCGTCGGTGCGCGCCTGGGATCCGAACCCGGGCCGCCAGCAGCGGAGCGTGCGCACTTAACTGCTAAGCCACGGGCCCGGCCCTGGTTACTTTTTTCAAATATGCTTGATTGGCATGACAGATTTTGGGTAGTAAAACTCTGGGATAATGACTGAATCCCTGTCCATACAGCCATCCACACAGGCGACTTCTGAAATATTAGAATTTAGTACTAAAATTGCCCATAATTAAAAATAAATAATAAGAACAATAATAAAATATTGGCTGTAATTTGAATTAAAAAATAAAGCAAAGTCTGTATTTTGGTTCCTAATTGTGAAAAACAGAAGAAAGATTTTATTTATTTATTTATTTATTTATTGCTGAGGAAGATTCACTCTGAGCTAACATCTGTTGCCAGTATTCCTCTATTTTGTATGTGGGTCGCTGCCACAGCATAGCTGCCAATGGGTGGTGTAGGTTCCGTGCCTAGGAACTGAACCTGGGCCGTGGAAACGGAGTGAACTGAACTTAACCACCAGGCCACAGGGCCAGCCTGGAGATTTTATTTTTAAATCTTGAAATTCTTTCTGTTTCATCACTTTTTTAATAAGTATATGGGGACGATATTAGGGAGGCCAGGTGCCTTACACCTTAGTGTTCTTTTCTTTCCTCTCCTCTTGTTTTGTCTTCTCTCCCCTCTTCTCTTCTTCTTGCCTTTTCTTTCCAGATAGCTGGTGATGCGCTCAGAAGAGATGATGATACTTGGAAAGATTATCTGGACCTGTCAACTTTGTGCCAGTTTGAGGATACTGGGGCAAGAGTCAAAAAGGAAAAAAAAAAAAAGTCACAAATGGACTCTTCTAAACTTTGTGCGACAGGATTCAGTGTGGTGACAAATAGTGTGGTGTCGCCAAGTTGCTGAAAAGATGGCATACTGATAGGTCTAAAAATGAGGGAGATGAGCAGTAAGCACGACATTAGAAAAAGCAAGGTTTAAACTGGAAGCATCAAAATGAACTTATGACTTTAAAAATCTCCCCTCTAACACTGAGAGTCTAAACCGCCCCTGATATCACACAGCCTAAAGCTAGAAGGTGTGTGGAAAAATCTCCTGTGTTCCCCTGGCACCCAGATGGGTTTTGATCTCTTCCCCTCTTCTCCACTAAAAGGAATCTGAGGGGTAACGGGTACCAGATCTTGGGAAAATGTCAAAATGAGCTTAGAACAGGAAGGAATAGCTAAGAAATGTGTGCAAAAGAAGAGGAACTGGAGAGCTTCCTACTGGGCGTGAAAATGTATTGTGGTTTCAGTAATTAAAAGTGTGGTTCACCTAGAGGAAAAGCAGACATATCAAAAGAAGGGAATAGCCCCCATACAGATCATTCTAAGTTAGAAAATAGTGTGTGAAAAAGGAAGTATTAGAAACCACCGAGGAAGAGAAAACTAGGTATTTAGAGAAAAGTTGGGTTTAAAACCTCACCTTGCACACTATATCAAAATAAATTTAAAAAATGAAACTTAAGGAGGAGAAGAACATATAGGTGAATTTAGCTAATTTTTTCTAAGTAAAGGACTTCCTAAGTTTAAAAAGACACAGGATAAACCACAAAGGAGAAATATGTATAATTGACTTCAGAAAATTAAATACTTTTGTGTCATAAAATATTAGAAATCAAATTAAATGGGAAATGAGGAACTGGGACGTGTTTTTATAACAAATGTGGCTGATAGCTTTAAAACAAAAAACAAAAATTGATCTGTGATAATTCAATAAGAAACACATATTATCCCAGTAGAAAAAGGACTAATATCACAAATAATTGACAAAAGAGAAAATTACAGATGATCAATAAACATATAAATAATTCATTCTCAATGTTAATCGAAAAAAGGAAAAATATGGGGCCGGCCCCATGGCCTTGTGGTTAGGTTTGGCGGACTCTGCTTCAGTGGCCCAGGTTTGGTTCCCGGGCACGGACCTACACCACTCGTCAGCAGCCATGCTGCAGCGGTGACCCACATACAAAATAAAGGAAGACTGGCACAGATGTTAGCTCAGGGCAAATCTTTCTCAAGCAAAAAGAGGAAGGTTGTCAACAGATGTTAGGTCAGGGCGAATCTTTCTCAGCAAAAAAAGAAAAACAAAAGGAAAAATAAAAATGATGTACTTATTTTTGGCCTATAAGATTGACGAAGGTTAAAAATGGCAGCATGTTCATGACGATGCAGCAGACGACCGTTCTCAGCGGCTGTTGATGAGATTGAGCCTTGTAGTCTTTTTGGAAGTGAGTTTGATCATGTGCGTCAAGAACTTGGGTAATAATTATGTCTTTCACCCAGTAACCCCACCTTTAGACTCCATTTGATGAAAATATGAGAGCGCATTTGAATATTAATATGCAAGAATGTTCATTATACTGTTCATATAATGCAAAACTGAAACGTCTTAAATGTTCAATACCGAGAGAATAGAAAAATGAATTATTGTTGTTTATGTACTACAGAAACAAGACAGGAAGGATATTCAGTAAACTGTTAAAAGCAGTTGTTTTTAGGGGTAGGACGGAATCAAGGTTTTATAGAAGGATGTATCTTTTTCTTTTTTATGCTTTTGTAATTTTTTTTACCTCTCAAAATTAGCATGTATTATTTCTAAAATTCAGAAAAAATAAAGATAACATTTAAAAATTGTATATCTCTGATATATTTGATGAAATGCAGAACTGGTAGTGCTAAACTGTTAGGTGAAAAAAAAACAGTATAAAATATAAATGCAATAAGATTATGATTTTGGTAAAATACAATAAGTGCAAAGACTAGAGGGAGAAACCTCAAAATGTTAGCCATAGTTCTCTCTTGTGGTTTTTTAACTTTCTTTTTTATATATTTCCCTATTTTCCAAATTATATGTAATGGGTGTAAATATTTTATTAGTAATAAAAAAGAGAAAGAATGGTCAGAAGAGAAGCTCTTAGAGTTGGATTTGGCTGTCAATACTCTGGGCATTTCTGAAGGATGTTTGTTAGGTCTCTTTCACCTTTGGTGATCATCAAAAATTTCTTTTCCAAATAATAGTGTCTCATCTCTATAGGGAACAAGTAATATGATGAAACTGTAGTCATAAGCTTTGGATTTTAAAACTGTGAACTCTACAAGGGTATATAAATACTGCTTTGTTGCATTCTTTTCCCACCCTATTCTAGGATTTAGTCCTAAAATGAAAGGAGTAAAAAAAGATAGGACATGCAGATTCCTGACATTCTTTCCTAACCAGAATGATTTTTAACTCCTAATATGAATATTTTCCTCAAAATATATACCAACTCTCTTCTTTTGTTTATTATTTGATGCCTTCCAGACTTTTTTTTTAAACTAATGCTAGCTTCTAATTTCTCTTCTTTTAAAAATGTGATTCTGTGATTTGTAAATAAATCTTAACCTGTAAAACACTGATTTATGTGACATTGAGCAAAACACATGAATTTTCTCCTTTTTATTCTTTGTAAAAAACTGAATTATTAAAAAAGAAAAGCTGATAGGTGGAAAATGGATTAATAAGCATTTTAAACATTCATAAACTTCATTGAAACTTACAGGCCTGTATTATCATTCATTATTGATATTATTCTATTATTAAAATATACTTTTGCTATCTACTGAAATATAGTCAATTTTAGTCATTCCATCTTCTCTGAATGACTAAACATAGAACAAATCCCTATGGGACTTGTACTATATTTTAACTTAGCAATAATTACCTTAGATGGAAATGAAACAGAGTCTTCTCGTGCAGAAATAAGTTTAACTGTATATAACATAAGGGTCAATGGCCTCCAGTACATTCCAAGTGTGAGCAGAAAGTTTGGGGGATAAGTAGTGCTTGTGTTGTATCATGTTTATGTAAGTGACTTTGAAAGCTGATAAGGTAAATTTTAATAATTTTAAGTAAATACAAAGTTGATTTTTTCTTCTAATATAGTGAATAGATACAGTAAGGGCAGTACTATGGAACTGTGATTACATTTCAGTTATTTTTATCACTGTTGGATCATATGAGAACAATCCTACCTGATACTGTTGTGTATCTAAACTAGTCCCTAACTAGCAAGGGTAAAAGGAAAAATCCTTATATATGGTTTTTCTCTGGATTTTAGTTTATCAGTACTGACAGCTGTAGCAATTTAAAACAGGACTGCAAAGAAGAATAGGGGCTTTTATGGAGGGTGTGTGTATGTGTGCACGTGTGTAGTGTGTGTTTGTTCTAGGTGTATACATGGAGTATGTGTGCAGGTGTGTGTGCGCGTATGTGTGGTATATATGTATGTATGTGTGTGGTGTGTGCGTATTTGTGCGTATGTTTTCCTTTTCCTGGTCTTGCTGGATCTGGTTCGTGTGATTTGGTTACCTCCAACAGTTCTGGATGTTCAGGTGAATTGATAGAGAAAAGGAGCAAAGTAATAACAGCCCTCAAAGGCATTTAATTTTTATCTCCTCTATTCCCATCATTGGTCTTGCTTTCCCACCTGAAATGAATGAAGGCTATAACAGAAGACAATAAGGAAAGACATCTTGTTAGATATTATGCCAATTAGTCTCTTGGTAGTATACCCTTTTTGAAAACATACTAGGAAAATAATTCTATGTAACTTTTAGAAAAAAATGGGTTATATCTTATCTTATGACAAAGTTGTTTAGAAAGTGGAAGGAAACCGGTACTTTTTGTTCTAGGCCTATTACAGAGTTACATATATACATAAAATCTCAATTAGTAATTGAATACAGACAACTGCCTTGTTAGCAAATATTACCCTTGTTTCACAGATGAAGAAAATGAGTATTAGAGGCAGAATTCATATTAATCCATTTATTCTAAGGACCATGTTCCTTGTACTGTATCAAGCTGTCTTTGCAGGAGTGACTTGGCAGAGAAACTGTTCTAAATGTTGCTAATTAGTCTTTGAGATTGTTCCTCTTTTGTGAGGCAAAATTAACCTTTTTGTCTGACCTTTATAACATGCATTGCCATATGGGTTCAGGTTAGCTTCATTGATTCCAAAAGCTGCTCTCTTTCCTCAAGCCAACCTGTTCTCAGGAAGTGATGTATTCTGGCAACTAGGGCTGCTTTAGTTTGGACCCTGGGTACAGGGGCCTAGCACGCATGGAGCAGTGGAGACTTTTAACTATCTGGAAAGCCCTGGAAAGACCTCTGGAGGAAAGCTGAGTTGGAATTCCCTCCTTTCCACCTAGCCCTGGGCCCAGGCAAGTTACCTACACCTTCTGGATCTCTGTGTCTGCCTCTCTCAAACTGAGGTTGGATGACATCAGTGGTTTACAATCCATGTCCCACAGGGTCACTTAGAGGCAGCTCCGGGGGTCGATGCGGGTGGGGGAAGTGATCCAGCATTTTTCTGGGCCGCCTATTATCCATGCTTCAACAACAGAACAGCTGTGTGTGTGTGTGTGTGTGTGTGTGTGCGCGCGCGCGCGCGCGCTCACCCCACCTCTCCCTCTCTGTCTTGATTCTAGATTTTGTTTGAACAAAAGGTTCTACATCTAAAAATAGTTGGAAAAACACTGGACCAAATAGTCCTTAAGGTTCCTTCCAGCTCTAACTTTCTATGAGTGTATGAAAGCAGCTTTAAAGATAGACAATCTCACTATCTTTAACTAAAATATAATCTTTAAAATTTGCTGCAAAACATTTTTAAATTACAAGTTTTAGAAATAGCCTCAAAGAGAAAAATCAGTGTCAAAATCTATGACTGAGTACTTTGAAATGGCAAAGCTGTGAGGCAAACTGCATGGTTTCTATGCTTTTCAGCAGAAAACGTGTAATTAAATTTCCTCTTGATTCCAACTTTAAAAGCATTTCTTCTTTTCCTTCTTCCAAGGTAAGTGTAAGATAGCATTCACAATCAGGAATTGCTAGAATATATTTCACAACAGAAAGGTACTGTTCCTTCAAGACGCTGCGAAGTCCATCATTTTCCATCTGTTCTTTTTCTCCTGGAAGTTTATCATGTCATTGATAGAACACATCTGCTGTTTCCTGTTTTTTTTCCTTTGTGACAGTCTATGAATAAGGTGACTGGACACCAGAGAAAGAAGAGGAATATTTGTCTTCAACGTTTGCTTTTATTTGAGTTCCTTTTACTCCATATTTTTGGGGCACTTACTTTAAATCAGTGATCAATATGCAATAATTAAGCAGTTGCTACACACTTCAACACTGTTCATTTATTGGCGGACCACTCATAAAGGTCATAACTTCAAGAGACCCTTACTCTCGAGCAGCTCTGTCCGGTAGAGTTTTCTGTAATGATGGAAATATTGTCTATCTTAGCTGAGCAGTACTGTATGCTACATGTGGCTCTCGAGCACTTGAAACATGCCTAGTATGACTGATATACTAAATTTTTCATGTTAATTAAGTTAATTTAAACTGAAATCACCAGGTGTGGCTAGTGGCTGCCCTATTGGACAGTGTAGCTCTAGAGAATCAATGAAATTAGTAAAATAATTCTATGCTCCGGGAGTAGAAGGTATTAAATTGGTTTTTTTTATTATTGGCACTTTTATGGTTAGAAATAGATTACAGATTTTTACACTTTTAAAGGTTTTTTTAATTAAAAATTTTTTCAGTGCCTGGCACATAAGAGTCAATAAATGATTGGATGGTATTAATAGGTTCCGCCTCACCTCCACCTCGAGTCTCACCAACTCACACATCCTGGTAAGGTCACCTTGACAATTTTCTCCTAAGACTGTCAGACCTGTCCACCCACCTTTCACAGCTGTCTGGTCTTTCTGGGAGTTAAGAGTGAGGGGGTGTTTCTTTTCCTGTGTGTGCTGCTGTCTGTCTTCTGACTTCCTGTGCTCCTGGGCTCAGCAGCCCCTCAGCCGTGCCTGTGGCTTCCAGCCTTCCAGCCTTCCCTTCACACTGCTCCAAGCCCAGGCTACTCCTGGACTTCTCCCACAAGCCCCCCTAGAGCCCTCAGCTGCCGTGGCCATCTGGACCACTCTACAATATGCTGATCTGACCTTGGTTGGGGACCGATGTTCAGTTACGATTTCTAAAATGTGCGTTCCTAAATGAAGTGTGATCGACCCCAGGGGTCAGAGTCAGGCCGTATGGCACACAGTTGAAGGAACTGAGAAGACATCACTTACAAAATATTATTATATAAATCCTATTTATAAAACATACATTTAGGGGCTGGCCGGGTGGTATAGTGGTTAAGTTTGCGTGCTTGGCTTTGGCGTCCCAGGGTTCCCAGGTTCAAATCCTGGGCGCGGACCTACACACCACTCATCAAGCCATGCTGTGGCAGCATTCCATATACAAAACAGAGGAAGATGGTCACAGATGTTAGCTCAGGGACAATCTTCCTCAGCAAAAAGAGGAAGCTTGGCAACAGATGTTAGCTCAGGGCCAAACTTCCTCACCAAAAAACAAAAAACATACATTTATGTTGTGCTAGGCACTAGGTTAAGTGCTTTTAATTCTCATCCAACCCTCATAGCCACTGCATGTCCTATTTTCACACATTTTAGATGTGTGCTTAGGCTCAGAGATGTTAAGTTCACTTTCTCAAAGTCACATAGCTCCGAAGCGGCAGATCAATGATTCCTATTTACACTCATCAGCTCTCGAGCTTGCCGTTTTTTCCACGATGCAATTCATTACGGAAGAGGGAGAGTTCTTCAAAATGAGTGCAGAGGGCAAACCTAAAAGGAACTGGATTTGAGGGGACTCTAATGAAGAGTTTTCTACTCATTCAAACTTTTCACCACTGAACACCCCACTCACAAGCAGCCCACAAGCCGAGGCCTAATGCTGGTGGACCAGGAGGTCGGTAGGTGAACTCTCTGGTCCTTTCCGATTCAGATTTCTTCTGAATATAATTTCCTTTCTTGAGGATATATATTGGCAATTTACTCCCATATGACTACTTTTTAATTTTCCATGCAATTCATCTAGACCATTCTTTTTCTGTGCAAAACCAGAATGTAATTTATTCATTGTGCAAATTGACATGAACAGGATATTCTCTCCCCGAGGGCAAGCCTGTGTAGGAATCCACGGCACGTTTGACTGGGGAATAAAGAGTGGCCTGGATCATGGAAACTCAAAAATGATGGCAAAAGTAGTTTAAGCATTTGGCAGACTTTGTTTAATTTTGTTAGATATTAATGTTCAATGAAATGACAGGCAGGAGAGGAAGAATAAAATACTAGATTTCAAGTTATAAGGCCATAAATAATTGAGAGTATGCTATTATTATTTTAATATACTCCTTAGTATTGTATTATGCCCTGTAATTATTTCTTATATGCTTCATATGTGCCAGGTACTAACAAGCATTTTGGTTTTTCTTTTTTTTTCTTTGGTGAGGAAGACTGGCCCTGAGCTAACATCTGTTGCCCATCCTCCTCTTTTTGCTGACGAAGATTGGCCCTGGGCTAACATCCGTGCCCGTCTTCCTCTGTTTTGTATATGGGACGCTGCCACAGCATGGTTTGACAAGCGGTGCATCAGCCTGCGCCCAGGATTTGAACCCGCGATCCCAGGGCCGCCGAAGCAGAGTGCATGAACTTAACCACTATGCCACCGAGCTGGCCCCCGTTTTTGTTACAAGGGTATTTTCTCTGTTTTGAGGGATAAATGCACTGAATATCCTGAAGTCTAAGTTTTTATACTTTTCTCTGATTAGACATAAACTCTATTGGACATATCACTGAGGATACCAGAGGATTAGAAAGCTTTTTTTCTCCTGTAAGAACATCTGGGAATTGCTTTGGGAAGAAGTAATCAATATATATATCTTCTTTTTTTCTTTATCTGCCCATCCTATATTCCTCCCTAACTACTCCCAATTGTAGCAGCACCCCCCCCCCAGCTCACTCCACTTGTGCCAGTGATTGGAGGAGAATGCATAATCCGAGGGGGCCTAACTGAGGCCTCCACGGAGATGTAAATTAGAGTTACAGAGAAAGTTTTCATTCTGGAAATGATTATCACACGTGATAAGCTTTAGAGAAGAAATACTACATAAAGAGATGATGTGGCATATACAAAGTAAAAATTGGGCTCGAAAGAACAGAAAGGACTTAGTGACAGAACTGGTGAAATCTGTATTTCAGAAGACTGGGATGGGGGGTGGACTGAGGAATCCAAACAAGTTGGCTTTCTAGCGTGGAAGTCTAGAAGGAAGTTTCCACTTGGAGGTCTTGGAGAAGGCCAGGATTCTGCGCAGGGTACAGAACATAAGCAAGGGCCGTAAGCAGGGAATTGGAGAAACGAAGGGTGCTTGGGGAATGCTGAGCAGTCTGGTTTGCAAGAGTTCAAGATGGGGAGAAAACAAAGTTAACAGGGCTGTGAAAACCCTTAAGTATCAGAGTGAACCCTTTGTAATCAGCCTGTGTGGGGATGGCCTCCCTTCCTCTCAAGAGGATAGTATTTTTCACCAACTCTTACACATATTTCTGTCCTGTCTCTCCCTACACAGTAAGACCCTTGGTCATATTTATTTTGATATATAGCACTAATGCTAAACAGATTCTAGATTTATTTAATATATTGGTTGTTGACTGCATATAAACCACTGTGACTATATAGCTCTCTTTATATGCCAACTGATATATATTTATGGTATAATATTTGCAATAAATATTAGAAAAGTTTGCTTTATGCATTATATATCTATTAGTGTGTATGATTTCTATAAGTTGAGTTGCCTTAAAAAGAGTACATTTGCTTAAAGCAGATTTTTAAAATGTCTCCTTTCTAGATGGTTCAGTTTGAGCGGATAATTAACATGAGGCCAAACCAGGGCTCACTTTTTCAAATACTAAGTCAGCCACAAAATTCTGGAACTGCAGGGCCCTCAGCAATCATCTCTCTCTCTTTCTTCCCCTTTATTTTACAGATGAGGAAACCAGGCACAGCTCAGTCACACAACCAGGTATTGGCAATGCCAGGGCTGAGACCGAGTTCTCTGGTATCTTTCTACCACACAACCCTTCTCATCTGAAGTAAGTGACCAACAAAAACAAAACATTTAAAGGCCGATACACATTTACAATTTAAAATTTTCACAGGACACATCAAAAGGGATGGGTCAGTTTCGTATTTCTGATACAGTAGTCATCCTTTTATTTGTTATATTAGCACACGTGCCAAGTTTCTAACAAATCCGTTATTAACTCGTTATTACAAGTGGTACTCTCCAATTTTTCTAACAAAAGTTAACATGTGGCAGTAACGGGAACAATAGAACACTTCACAACGAGAACATTTCCTCTCCTGCATATGGAGGCAAGGTCCTAGTACTTGGAGGCCCCTAAGTAGTCCAACATGATATTAACAGCAGATCCTACGCTGGGGGTATCTTCCAAGCCAAGCTATAATTAACTCCACTAACAGTGACAGCAAGCGCTCTCCGTATTTGCACGCACTGGGGCTCTGCTGCACGTGTGCTGGTTTCTGTACTTGTAACTCTGGAACTTTCTCTGGGGATAAAGCTGATTTATTTCCATAACCGCAGCGCAGGCACACCAGGCACGTGGTACGTGCTGCGGCCTAATGGACACCGCAGGCATCCAGGGCACGGAAAAGCGGCATGCCTGAAAAATGAGTTTTTCTGGATTCTAACCTGTGCTAATTCATTTCCAGGCAAAGGCAGATTTCACCCCTCCACTGAGCTCCAGACTTTTTTTTCCTCCCAAGGCCCCTGAACATACTTTAGAAGGAAGCTGGAGCGTGAATCAGGACACTGGAGTGCTGCTATTCACTTGGGAGGCCTGACTGTTTTCTGCCCTCTGTGCCCCTTCTGCCCCTCCAGTGCCCAGGCCCGGGCCTGAGCGGCAGGAGAGGGGGGAACTGAAAAGCCGCGGAACCTGAGGCCAGGGAGCGGCGCGGGCGGAGGGAGGAGGGGCGGCGGACCGGCAGGCCTAGCTCCGGAACCAGAGGCGGCGGCGGCGGCGCGGGGATGGAGCCCCTGCGGGTCCTGGAGCTGTACAGCGGCATTGGGGGCATGCACCAGGCGCTACGAGGTGACACTGCACGGACGGCCGCTCTCCGCATCCGCGCGTGGGCGCTGGTCGGGGCGCCGGCGCCGGGGCGGGGCGGTGAGACGCTGGGGGCGGAGACGGAGGGGGGGGGGCGCTCGGTTGTCATGGAAACCGCGCCCGCGGGGCGGCCCCCCTCCTCTCCGGGCGGGGACTCCCCGCTCCCGCCCGCGCGGTGGCCGAAGGGCGGGCAGGCCCCCTCCGAGGACTGGGGCTGTGAGGTCAAACTAAAGTGGGGGACCAGGGGAGGGGCGAGCCCCGGCCTAGCGCTAATGCCCCTCTCCAAGTGGGGCGGCCCCCTAGAGGCCTGGGGACTGGTCCTTGACCCCCGGTGACGTCACGGCGGGCGGGGGAGGTGGCTGGGCGGGCTCGGCCAGCGAGGGATGGCCCTTCAGAGGGATCACACCACTCAGGGTAGAAGTTAGTGAACGCTAAGTGGAACCGTAGGGGAAGCAGAGAGAAAAAACTTGGTCAATTCTGATCCTTGAAAAGAAACATCATGTCTTGATACATTTAGGCGCTAGAAGTGACTTCAAACTTAGTTGCAGTGTGACCGTGGGCTAGTTCCTTAACATTTTTGAACCTATTTCCTGATTTTAAAATGTGCAAAGAAACTCTTTCAGAGAAGGATTATTATGAGGATTAAAGATGAGGCATGTAAAGTGTTTAATAATGCCCGGTACATTGTAGCCACTCAAAATATTATAAATTATTATCTCTGTTCCTTTTAGGCGCCTCTTCCACTTTGAGGTTTTAAATTTCTTTGGTGATAAGTTGGAACCGAAAGCTTTTTTTTCGGTGATGTTCACTCAAAAATATTTATTGAGCTCCTGTTCTGTGCCAGGCACTGGAGAGATAGAGTGACAAATAGAATTTGAACGTGCATGTTTATTCTTAAATTACTAAGGCAACCACAAAACCGAAACTTCCTTGCTTCCTTTTTAGTACCAAGGGTAATGAGACTAATACTGTAAGATGC